CCCACCGAATATGCAAATGTCGTATCACTTACGAAAAGGAGAAAGGGAACGAGGCGGGAGGCATCCGTCATTTCCCCAGGCCGGGGCACTATTCGCCCCGCTCCCTGAGGAAACATGGGACCCCTGTTGCCTTCCCCCCGCAAAACTCCCATCTCCCTGTCTCGAGAAAGAAAATGGGGTGGGCCGCTAGTTAGTGAGCGTTGATCATGCCATGTTGAGACAGGAATGTGTAATATAGCGCCTTTATGTTGGGTAGATAGACGGTCCATTCCTCGGTTAACCCTTTTGGGTGTGAGCCATCAAGCGGTGTTGTTAGCCGCAATAATTCTTGTTTCGACTTATCCGCCAGCTGTTTTGTACACTTTAAAGAGAGAAAGCACCCGACAGCAAGGGATGGTAAAGGTAATGTTGGCAAGTATCTCGTAGCAGTACATAATCTCTTCTCATGGGCAGAACTGTTTGAGGGGGTTACCTTCCCTCATAGCTTCCACATCAATGTTGAGTGAGCTCGGCGAATGGCCTAGGTGGCCGAGGTCTGCAACGAAATCTGGTCTCAACGGAAAGTATTCATCGACCAATAGAGCGGCATGGCGCAGCCACGTAGATATTTGGCAGAATGGATGAACAAGAGTGTTGATATGTCAGTTGACAATGAGTTTCTCAGGAAAGGCTGGGGAAGACGGAATTCATTCCCTTTAGCAATTGCCATGGTTAGTCCTGGCGCATCTTCCCCTGTTTTCTTGTTGCCGCGGAGCAAATGCCTTTCTGTTACCTCGGTCGAACCGAGGATATACGGCGTACTCTTCGTGGAAGTCGCTATGAATCAAAATTGCACTCCGCGCAGGCTTCGGAAAGTCCAGCCTCACCGTGTACTTGTAAATGTTTGGGTGTGTCTTCGTGCAAGAAAGGGTGAGACTCTTGGCTCCTAATTCCCGGCCTTTCATCAATCAGGACGAACAGGCAGCCTTATGAAGAATGGATTGTTGTTCATCCGGCGCCAAGCTACTTTGGTCGCGCTTTCCCGATCCGGAATCCTCTGTTAGGCATTGGCCGCGACTTTGCAGATGCTGTGACCGGCGGCGTTGTACCTCGAGTACTCCGTCCACAAGGCTCAGTGAGTCCATGAGGCTACTAGAATTCAGGCAGCATCATTCCCTATTTCGTGAGTGGTTCAATGGAGAATCCTTCCCCCACTCTAAGATGCCGCTCGCTCGAAGAAACGTGCTCGGTCCAGAAGTGAAGCGACGGAGACCGTTTGCGTGATAGTTTGACGGCACAACAACAATCCATGAGGAAGGCCATGACCATGGGAACTCGACTGCACAGTGTCCAGCGCGACTTGGATTATAAAGGTGAGGATTGCCCTCTTGAATGTTGTGCGGCTGGTCGGGACCAGAACCACCTAACTTGAGTTTCGAGCAACAGAATGGCGGCATCTTTTGACCTGTCTAAGCCTAACCGCACCATCCACGCCGGAGTGATTCTCATGAATGCGTAAGTGTCATACTTGGATACGTTGTCCGGTCAGAGCTGAGACCAGGCAACAGAGAAACGGAGATTCTTGATGTCGCTCCAATTGACCTGTTGCATGCAGTGTCCAAGAACTTCATGCAGACTCTGGAGCAATTTGTTCCAAAGGAGATGGTAGCCCAGGCCCTTGACATTGAGTTCCATTGGGTCAATGAGACAGGCAACACTGCCAGATTGACAGGCGGCGTCTCGCTTCAGCCCACCGTGAGCTTGGCCCTCGTTCGACTTCACTCTTCTGGATCGTAACCCTCATCTTTCGATAGGACAAGTTTTCGACGTGCCCGCCCCTTGATATCGTACTCATGGGAGCCCATTTGGATGGGTATACTCCAAACGAGGTGGAGCTCGACTTCGTGCGCAAGAGTTATGAGAACTGTTCAGCGTTCATCACCATCTGCGCAGGATTCCAAACTGCATTCCAGGCCGGGTTATTCAAGAACAAAACTGTGACGGCGCCGCGATTCATGTTGGAGCAGCTTCGAACAACCGGTTCTGAGACGAACTGGGTCGAAAAGCGGTGGCATCGAGATGGCAAGTTGTGGACGAGTGGCGCTTTGCTTAACGGACTAGAGCTCATGCGTGCTTTTGGTACAGAATATTGGGGTGGCGAGGGCACGCTGATGCAATTCGCTCTCGACAGTGGGCACTATCCGCAAAGAGACGTCCAATATGGAGACGCTACATCGAAGCTTTGAACCTGGGTGGCTGGTGCGCTTTTTGCATGTGAGGCGCTCAGTTCACCAGCATGCTGGATAGCTCACACGACTCAGGATAGTTCAAGATTGCTTCGGAGATATCTATCCGTATGATCCACCGTATTAATATACGGCAGAGTACCCAGTCAGCAAGCACAGGTGGATATTCAACCAGGAACTCCGTCAGGCTCCATCAGAGCCGATAACGGTGCATTAACACCTTTCAATGCTCTCCACAGGATGATAGCATTAGCCCCGTCGCTTACGCAGCGGCATGTTGTTGCTGAAATCTCCGCCCTTGTCAAACATGTCTACACCGTTCCCCGTCCCTGTACCGTCGGGTCTATCCTTAATGTGCTTGGACGGAACTATGTCTAAATATCTAGAAGGCAAGTAGTGCTGCTCGGTTCTGTCGAGCTGCTTTCGGGAAGCCGATCAGCCATGGGAGACAGCTCGGGTGAAGAAGACGTCTCGGAACGTCTCCTCAGCCAGCACAAGGCGGCAGTGTCGCTGGTATCCGACCGAATAGCCAGCTTCCACGCTCGCCAAATCCCCTTTCGAATCTTCCATGGCCACACGAACTCGACTCGCCTTAGTGACCGCACACGGAACGCTACTGTCGACATCTCTGCTCTTAACAATGTCATCGTCGTCTCGCCTTCGAAACGGACATGTCTGGTGGAGCCTAACGTCCCTATGGATCGTCTTGTCGCCGCCACTCTACAACATGGTCTTGTGCCTCCTGTCGTCCCAGAGTTCCCGGGCATCACAGTTGGAGGTGGCTTTGCTGGGACAGCAGGCGAAAGTAGTAGCTTCAAGTACGGTTTCTTTGACAAGAGCGTGACTTGGTTCGAGGTGGTTCTCGCAGACGGAACAGTCGTGAATGCCTCAGAGACTGAGAGGGCAGATTTATTTCACGGCATGGCAGGAACATTCGGCACGTTAGGAGTCATTACCCTGTTCAAGATGCGTTTGATTCCCGCGAAGGAGTTTGTCGAACTGTCATATATCCGGGTTGGAGGCATTGAACACGCGCAAGAAGTGATCAGGCAGGTCAGAGGACAGGGAAAGGTGGACTTCTTGGATGGGATAATGTTCGCTATTGATAAGGGCGTGATATTGGCGGGCAGATTCGCTGAACAAGACGAGAAGAACAAGAACCTACCACTTGTGACATTCACCAAGCCTTGGGACCAGTGGTTCTATCTCCACGCCGAAGAAAGAATGAACAGTCCTGATACTACGACTCCGACACTTCCATCTGCGTCACCACTGTCTCCTCCGCGCGACTTAATCCCCTTAACGGACTACCTCTTCCGGTACGACCGCGGCGCCTTCTGGACTGGCCGCTTTGCTTATACATACTTCTGCGTTCCCTTCACGCGACCGATCCGTTGGTTGACGGACTATTTCATGCATACGCGCATAATGTACCACGCGTTACACCGCTCCGGCCTATATCAGCGCTTCATAATCCAAGACATGGCCCTACCGAATAAAAACATTGCAGAGTTCTCTCGCTGGTTGGACAAAGAACTGCCGCACATTTATCCGCGGTGGCTGTGTCCCTTAAAAGACGGTGAGAGCGTGAGCATGAATCCACATCTCCGCAACCCGGCTCTATCGGCCATGGAATCAAGTTCAGTCTCGACCTCAACGACGGCCTCGGACCCCATTGCCAAGGGCAGTGAAGAAGAAGATGATGATGACGATGATGATTTCGACAACGCGCTTCTGAATATCGGCGTTTGGGGCGAAACGCCGCCCAACACCCTACACGTCACCATCAACCGCCTCATCGAAGCCAAATTGAAATCTCTGGGTGGGATGAAATGGCTGTACGCCCAAGCATTCTATACCGAAGACGAATTCTGGTCCATCTACGACAAGAAATGGTACGACGGCTTGAGAAAGAAATATCAGGCTGACGGACATATACCCAGCGTGTACGAAAAGGTCAGAACAAAGGATATCTTTGAGGTTGACGACGATGGGCGAGTGGTGCGTGATGCGCGCTTGCCTATTGAAAAGGGCTTGTGGAGCATTTGGCCTGTCGCGGGGCTTTATGGTGTCTTGAGCGCGTTGAAGGGCGGCGACTATCTGCGCAAGCGGTGAGCAAAGGATGTGGGAACTGCGATCATAGAGACAATATATGGAGTACTGGTCCGAAATATGTACAGCCGGAATGCAAGTCCAGAGAGATAGATCGATCGGCCATATAGTTCCGAGACTGGTCCTCATAGTTCGCAGATATTGTGTTCAATCGACTTGCATTAAGTTTCATTCGACATACATTCAACGTGAACATAACAATTGCCTTCGTCACTTTTCTTTTCCGCCATCCGCCAAAGAGACCACCGTTGAATCGCGTTGGAAGGGGCGGCGAGGTACCGAATCCTGGAGTGCCCACCCTTCCATGCTATGTAACGAGCGTGAGTGGTCAGCGGGGGAGCGTAAGTGCAAGATTCCTTAAGAGCACAGCAAGCGCACGAGGTTTGGGCTCCGAACCGAGTCCAGCTACAATTAAGCCCCTTCTGAGCAAAAATGAGAAGCAGAAAAAGTAAATAAGCCCTCTTTAAAATAAGATTTGCATAAGAGAAGCTGTCCTTGCTATCCTCCCGAGGCAGAAACAGGACCAAACGATAATTGTGCAGGAGGTTCTACTGGGCTTTCACGGGTATAAATGCATACACCGGCGAGGGATGGGACGGCCGTATTGCTGACTGAGTTGGTAGCTGGCTCAGAGGTCGGGCGTTTCCTTTCTGGGGAGGTAGATCACGGGTATCTGTGCATCGTCCCTGTCGCGGACATTTCGAACGGACCAGAAGCCACAACAGGGGGAGGCTGTTGCTGCAGCTGCACCTCGTTCTCTGGCGGGGGACTCATGCGCGACTGGCGCTGCAGGAAGGCTTCAATGCCACTTGCAGCCGGCGGTCCGGCCACGGAATTCGGGCTGCTTGCTCGCATGGACGTGTTCTCAGTGACGATGCCGCTCCCTGCTCGGGGATACTGCGTGTCGTGCATTGGATACGGGCCAGGTGCCGGGATTGGTTGGATCGCAGCACCGAAAATATCGTTGGACGGTGTCGGTGGCCACTGAGGGGACGGTTGGGGTTGGCCAGGGCTCGCCATCATGTTCTGCGGCGTCTGCTGAGGCGGTGGATAGCCCTGTGGGTAAGGATACATGCCGCCGTTCGGGATTGCGTTGCCGAAAGCATCTGTCGAGGACGCCGTGGTCACCGACATATGTTTCTGTGTGGGAGACATGTAGCCGTAGTTGTTGGGTGGTATATACGCCGGTGGGTTGTTCATTGGTCCCATGGCAGGCGTAGAGGGGGCTGGTTGACTGCCGCCTTCTCCTTTCGACCTAGACCTGCGACCACAGAAGAATAGCAGTGCTGCGGCTCCGACGACGACGGCTGCTCCTCCTGATATTAAGTAAGTACGAGCACCCACGGATTGAGAGAGATTGAGATTCAGAAACTCACCAACTGCGATTCCTGCGATAGCTCCTGTTGACAAGGTTGAATGGTCTGATCCACTTGCTGTGGAAGTCTCGGTGGCTGAGGAAGTTGTTGATGTTGGCGTCGGAGTCACGGTCGAAGTAGTAGATGTCGTTGTGTAAGGTATAATCGTCGTAGATGTAGGTGCAGAAGGATCCTCATCGGGCCAACCTTGTCCAGGTAACAGCATCTGTGTGGAGTCTGCGGCATATTGTTTTTGGGTTTGTAAAGACTGGCTGGCATTGGGATTGATCACTCCGACCATCTGATAGTTAATACAGGAGCCTTGGGCACCGCAATAATAGAAAATAGGATTGGTGTCGTTGATGAGGAGAGTCCATTTGGGTGGGTCGCTGAGAATGGCGTCGACGGGGTAGAAGCCAGAGAAGAATCCCACTTTATCCGCACCTTTTCAATTGAATCGTAGTTAGCTCGCCGGCCGCTTGAATTTGCAAGCTCATGAGAGCAAAGAGCAGCGGCATCGGGCGGTTTTGAGTGCGTATTCCCTACCTGTCAACTCATAAGGTACGCAGGGGTAGAGGTATTCCGCGCGGATCACCGAGTGATTCAAAGGATAAAAATTGAATTCTTAATGATAGCATTAGCAATCATATACACGCCGTGAAATCAGCTTGCTCGAGAACACACCAACATAGTTCCCAGGCGAAACTTGAACCACATCTGGGACGAAAGTATTCCCGCCGTTCCCGACAGCCACCGTTACCGTGATTGGTTGCGAACTTGTGCTGGTAGGAGAGGTACTTTCAGCACTGGTGTAATCTGTAACAGTAGTGGTGGTGTCCTGGGCCACTATCGCAGACAGCAGAGCTGAGAGGGCGAGGAATGAAAGCCTCATGATTGTTGGACAGGTTGAGATAGAGAAAGAGAGAGAGAAACCAGGGAAGTTGCCAGAGGAACTTGAGGAGCACAAAGTGTTGTACAAAAGTCAAATCAAACACTCCCGGATTTCTGACTCTTGCGAGGTCGAGAGGCACCTACCAAGCAAGGCAATGCACCTTGGGTGCCAGCCCAGGCGAGGATAGCGGGCGCTGCAACCGCGAAGAGAAGTCATGTCTTCGTATTGATGAAAGCAATGCGTTCGTGTGGTAAATGCCAATGCGGCTGCGGTCAAAAGCCAAGGGTTGCCGGTGCCAACCTCAGGGTTTCCCTTTCGACGGAATTAGTTAGCGAGAGGCGATAGCCACAGCCAGCACGGCTTGTTCTCGTATTGTGATCTCAACTTCCACCAGTTGGTCATAGCGTGACGCAGGCCTGAGAGCTTGGGCAGACTGGAATAGCCTGGAGCCCCGAGTGTAAAGAGAGAAAACACGATTCGGCAAGCAACCAGTGAGTAACCTTGATGAGGCCGTTGTCAAATTGGACCCCTGGCAAAAGCCCTCTGGGATCGGTAGGGCTGGACAAACACGAAGACAAAACCTTGATACATACCTTGCAACAAAGATGCCGCCTTATGACGCAGCCATGTGTGTCCAATCGCCTGGGGCGAGAATGGGGCCGAACGAGAAACCTCGCGAAGCGAACAGAAGCCGGCATGACCAGCAAAGCCGCCAAAAGGGTGGGAGAAGTATCCAAGAGATCTGGGCCAACAGGCTAGGTGAGACGCCACGCATAGAAACGATTCGATAGTCTGATTCCTGGAGATCTGTGGAAGGTGTCTTCTGAAGCCAAGGAGAGCTGAAAAGGAGAGTGAAAGTTAAACGGCAAAGGCTGGGAAACCATCCCCTGTTTGACCCTGGCCAGGCCAGGCCACAATCCGAAGCAACATACTCGAAGAAATTTCTCCCTTAAATTGCTTCGACATCAGCCGCTAAGGCTACTTTAAAGGGGCCAAAAATACCTGGACGGCGACTATCCAGCCTCACCAATGACATCGAACGTCCTGCCCGAGCCTGTACGAGTCCCAAGTCTCAAGATGACGTTTTGCCGTTTCTATACACACGCGCACTATGCTCCCGAATTAGGAGGGTGCCTCGGGTGTGATATCCCAGAAGCACGTCCCGACCCTCAGTGTGGAGAGCGAAAAGTGTGTTAGAGATCATCCTGCCCAAGATATGATGAGCACTTCGTGTCCACCAGCGGGATGCGAACTGCACCGACAAGGATTTCCACTTCTCCTGGGGCGACTCTTTCGCTCTGCGCCAATGGCATTTCACGGATCTTTACTGAAACGGCCATCCTCCAATGGTGATCCTGAACAGCGCCTGGTCCGCCTCGATCTCTGCTTTGCGGGCAATCAACTCCTCGACATCCCAATTGCACCACAGAAATCTTCCCGACTTGAGGAAGTCGGCTTCTGGACTCGCAAGCCAGACCATGAAATTCGCAGGGAGTTCTGGTTCGTCCAGTAAGTCGCCAGCTGGAAGCTGGTTAAGATCTCCCATGACTTTCTCGGCCATTTTGGTCGCGATGACACCGGGATGGACCGTAAATACTCGGAGTCGTGGATTCTCGTCCGCCAGATACTCGTCGAGCTTGGTCATGGCTAGTTTCGAAGCAAGATACGAAGAGATTTTGGGAAAGTGCGAGGCTCTCAAATGGCAAGCTGCAGCATTCGTGCCGATGTACGTCGCATTCGGACGGCACTTGGGTATAAAGTGCTTTGCGAAGTGAGCGGAGAACTTGACATTGATCTCGAATGCTTTCCACCAGTCCTCTTCATCTGCTCCCGCGAGGGTGGTCAAGTCCGGCAAGTACCTATCAGGCAATGTCAAACGCGGTTCATGTCAAAGCGATTCCCACAAGGCTACTGTACCCTGCACAATTTGCGAAGACATCCCAAGCCCCCAACTCGACTCTGATGTGGTGGGCAGCAGTACCAACGCTTTCTGTTCTGGAGATGTCCGCAACAGATACCAGGACTGTTGCATCAGGAAATGCTTGATTAATTGTTGTCTTTGTTTTCTGGAGAGTGTCCTCGGTTCTTCCGACTAGGGCGATTCTCCCGGCTCCTGCTTTTGCAAACGCTAAGGCGACAGCAGCGCCAATGCTTCCTTCGCCTGCTCCCGTTACTATCACAGTCTTTCCCTTTGCTGACAACTCGGGCCTTGAAGGGTCAATGGCCGGGTAGGTATTCTTGCGATATATCTTGGTGAAGCAAGGATATGGCATGGTTTTGAAGCGACCCACGAGCTCGAGAACTATCAATGATTAAGCCCAAATACTGGAAATATTTCTCTTATATATGTTGTTATGAAGCTAGAAGGTGAGCTAGCGAAGCCTTCCAACCCCGCAGAATAATCAAGACCGCCGCTCTGCCTTGGTCAGGCGTCCACTCGAAGCTCAATGCGGTCCTCAGTGTTACCAAAATCGGTCGCATTGAAGATGGTATGCCCTTGTGACCCTGATTGGATGAGTTGGCGAAAGTCGTGCTTCATTACCTGTCAATCTCACAGCTAGATGTTGACAATGGCAGACTTGACGGTGCTTGTATGAGTGCGAGAGCTTGTGAGTGGTGGCGTCCTATTGAGTACGGAGGGGAGAGAGCAGGGAGGGAATTGAGTCAGAAAGACTCCGCAGTAATGCTCCACCGTACCAGTAACTCCTACAACCACCCCGCATCGGTCTCGCGGTTATCGCCGGTTAGTGACTTCTCGCGCAAATTCACCACCAATGCAACACATCACCTCATTTCTTTGAAAAGTTTCCTACAATCTGTGTACATGTCCCTCAACCGAAGTCGAGGGTTTCCCAAATTTTAGTCATCTCACTTTACAGCCATGGCCTCAGTCAACGGCGACAGGCTGCACGCCCAAGGCACGCACCAGTCCTCGCTGGAACTCATCGGGCAAACACCCCTCGTCCGTCTGAACAAGATCCCCCAGTCTCTCGGTGTCGAAGCCACCGTGTATGGCAAATGCGAATTCTTCAACGCTGGAGGAAGTGTCAAAGACAGAATAGCGCTGCGCATGATTGAAGAGGCTGAGAAGTCAGGGAGAATAAAGCCTGGGGACACTCTGATCGAGCCTACCAGTGGCAATACGTAAGAACAACGGTGGAGAGCAAACCTGGAGAATGAGATTTGGCTGATATAGAAACCGTCGGATTTTAGTGGCATCGGCCTCGCCCTCGTTGCTGCTCTGAAAGGCTACAGAACCATCATTACCCTCCCCGAAAAGATGTCCGCAGAGAAAGTCGCCGTGCTGAAGGCACTCAACGCAACTATAATCCGCACACCCACACAAGCTGCCTTTGACAGCCCCGAGTCACACATTGGAGTTGCCAAGCGCTTGGAAAAGGAGATCCCCAATGCCCATATATTGGATCAATACGGAAACCCTGATAATCCGCTCGCACATGAACTAGGAACCGCAGAGGAGATATGGCAGCAAACAAAAGGCAAAGTGACATGTGTCATTGCCGGCGCCGGCACAGGTGGCACAATCACAGGCCTTGCCCGTGGTCTACACAAACACAACAAATCAATAAAAATCATCGCAGCAGATCCTCAGGGATCGATCCTCGCCCTCCCTTCGTCCCTCAACGAGGAATTCGCAAATCAACCCTACAAAGTTGAGGGCATCGGGTATGACTTCATACCAGATGTGCTTGACCAAAGTGTCGTGGATAAATGGTACAAGACAGATGACGTAGAATCATTCCACTACGCCCGTCGCCTCATTTCGGAAGAGGGATTGTTGGTCGGAGGAAGTTCCGGGTCCGCTCTTGCAGCGACGATCCACGCCGCGAGAGACCTCAAGTTCGGAACAGACGATGTGATCGTGACAATCCTGCCGGACAGCATCCGCTCATACCTGAGTAAATTCGTCGACGACGACTGGCTCGCCGCGAACAACCTTCTCCCTCCAACACCACCGCCTGAACCTTCCTCACCACAACTCTCGAGAACCCAGAGCATTAAACAAGACGACCCATTCCACGGTGCCCGCGTGCGTCATCTGCGATTAAAACCCGTTCAGACGGTCACATCGGACAGTCCCTGCTCTAGTGCCATCGAAGTCATGCGCGACAAGGGCTTCGACCAACTCCCCGTACTGGCACCTAAGGGTTCAAAGAAATTAGTCGGCCTCGTCACACTGGGCAATCTACTGTCACGGATCAGTCACGGGCGGGCCACGGGACAGAGCCCCGTGAGCGATGTTATGTTCGACTTCACCAAGATCAGCGAGGTCACCATTGACCACACGGATTTGACGGAGTTGATGACCACGTCGGCAGACGAGGACTCGGAGCCGCAGAAGCCGTCAAGTGACACGAGCGCAAAGCCCAAGAGCAAGAGTAAGAGAAGACACTTTGTGGAGATCACGATGGACACCCCTCTCAGCGCATTGAACAAATTCTTCGAGTGGCAGAGTGCAGCTATCGTCACAGAGCGCGAACCAAGTCACAAGGGCGGCGCCTTAAAGCCGGTGGCAGTGGTCACCAAAGTAGATCTGCTTACTTGGATGTTGAGCGAACACAAACCGTAATGCTTGCAGGCAATAGAGCGGAAAGTGTACACCGGGCATTTGAAACATATTCAACAGCGTCATTGCTCAAAACATCAGGGGGATTGTATGACGAGGGTGCAATCTTAGGGGTATTCAACAGCAGAAGCACGCCCGGTGGCAAGCGAATTGCACAAGCCGGAGTTGAAGTCCTGGAGCAGATCCCAGAAATTATTGAGGAGCGACTTAGATCCATGCATTTAAACAATAAATCTGCGTCCGCGAGGACAAGATACATATGGCGACATTAATGGACTTACCTCTCCGACTGTCATGCAGTGCCTTCTACGAGAATCATCATCAGGACTGGGACAGTCCCGCCAACAAGGGGTTATATATCGAATATGGGAACGAGACAAGAGAAAGGAGCCACGACCTCGTAACTCAGGACCAGTCAGGAATCGTGCACAGGGGAATGAGCGCGTACGGTGCCGACAATGTTGTGGTGCTGAACGCGGAACAACGGGTTCGGAGGAGATGGATCGTGCGTTTGAGGCGGAGGGTTAGGATGCGGGGATTGAGCTGGGAATGCGACGTGGTGAAATTGCGAGAAGGGAAATTACGACGGCGGTTGCGGGGACGAGGAAACGCGAGACCGAGTACGCGGCGCATCGGCGCGGACGGGGGAATTAGGCTGACGACTAGGGCTGCTGTAATGGTTCGAATGGGAATAGGAAAAGTGAGGACGGCGGCACATGCTGTCTAGATAGGTATCGTCCGATTGTCCGTATCGACGCTCCGATCGAATACTGCGTACGCTACCGAAGATAACGGTTGACGACCGAGAAGCCGGCTGTTGTACAGGATTGAGCCTGCACCGTTCGCTCGAAGTCGATCTAATCCCATGTCAAGTCAATTTTAACCACCGCTCGCCGCTGTGCCTGAGACTCTCAGGTCACGCAAGCTCTGCAAATAAATCATCACAGCAACAATGTCAAGGATGAAAAGTCTGAAGGAAACCTAGCACATTCTTGCCCTTTGCGAACACAGCAACTTGCAGTCGTGCCCGGTTGCAGGAAACCTGCTTGCTTGTTTGTTCTTGTGCAGCAACAGCACGCTGGGATTGCAGATCATGCGGTTCCTCATTCCGCGGTATCGAGCTCGTCATGAGCCGGGGGAGGCGAGTCCAGGGCTGATACGGGTGTCAGCATTTCAAATCCGGACTGCATGGGCATCGATTTCCATCATACCTTTCCGATCATCACCGTTCGCGGCGGTATCGCGGTCATCGTCGCGGCGGTCTCGATCGTCCTTCATGTCCCGGTCTCGGTCTCGATCTCGATCACGGTCGGCAGGGCTGCGGGAGCGGCGACGGTCATCGTATTCTCGGTCTCGATCTCTTTCTCGATCGCGGTCACGATCACGGCGATCGTCTTTGCGGGGAGAATAGTCGCGGCGCCGAGGAGAAGGAGAACGAGCTGATCGGCGTGGAGGAGATCGTTCGCGACGGCCGCGACCAGCTTCGTATCGCCAGGTGGCAGATGGGGGTGTACGAGCCCACTGTAGATATGGTAGTCAGAAAATATGTTCTGGCGGCGTGTTGAGCTTCAATGGGGAGCTTTTCACTCCGTACCTCGATCTTCAGGACATCATCACGACCAATTCGCTTGTTATGCATCTCGTGGTAGGCATCGTCAGCATCACGGCGGCTCTCGTATTCGACAAAAGCAAAGCTTCTCAGGCGTCAGTCTCTGCGGGCAGCAGTAGAGGTGGGTGAAACATGACTTACAGACGGCTCGATGCAGTTCTGGGAGCGGGAATGTCGCACCTGACCAGACGACCGTAGTGCTCGAACTCATAGGCAAGGTCACGGGCACGGGTACCATGACCAAAGCCCGTGACATAGAGGGTAGTCCCAGATCGAGACATGATTAAGAATGGAATGGCAAGGCGTAAGGGGCCAGGTGGCAAGCGGATATGTCGTGGTCGCTGTCGTTTCGCGCCAGTCACCAAGTGCCTGACTCTAACCACGAATGACTGTTAATACAATCTCTGGTTGGTAGAGCGAATGCAAAAGATGAGTGACAAGGCAGAGCGAGGATTGAATGGATTGAATGGATGGAAACTGGAGGAAAGAAGAAAGAAGACGCCTGGCGAAAGGGAGCAGCAGGCAAGCAGCCTTTTGGCTCATTTTTAGACTCAAACGCGGCTAAACCAGAAACGGAGCACAGGCTTGGCACAGCCCAGCAGTTCCCGACCAGCGGACCAGTCACTGCTACGGCTAAGTCATCGGAAAAGGCCCAAGAGGCCGCAGTGACAAGCCGCAGTCATCAGTCCGAGACGGCACTTTGCGAAAGGGTGACGCTCGCCTACGACAAAGTCCAGGGAGAGCGAGAACAGACTGTCACGGCCACTGCGAGCTATCACTTTGGTGACTCTACCTGAACCTGCCACATGCACTACTACCACACGCTTCCGCTTCTATTCCTTCACTTTTCCTCTTCCCATTCTTGAATCCAGCTTGGTCGACAAACTCCTCCTACTTTGACATCTCCACTCAATCAATTTCCCTTTTCAATTGCGCGATCCTCTTGCCCGACTTGTCCCGTATCCGGTTCTCCCATATCGCCCTTCATTGACCCTATCAGCCCAGGTGGATGATACAACAGGTCTGCGTCGTCTGAAGCACTGTCCTTGAATTCCACACGGATTCTGTCTGTAGTTGGTGGGAAAAGACGCTGGACCTACACACGATGTTCTCTCGCACACACCGATCACCGTGAAGAATTTTCCATGGACGCCACAGTCGCCTTCAACACCAGAATTCTATTTGCTGTGACGCCTGCACACCTGCGACTGTCTCCGCCGACACCATTTCCCTCACTACCTTCGCAAAGCTCGTGTCAGAGTCATGCGTCTGGGAGAGAAGGACCCTGTTACTGTCAACGGTAACATAGGCCAGAGCTCGACCTCCATACGGAACTTGACAAATTTACCGCAGGTCAGTGACATCGCACCAGAAGATCCACTGGGCCTACATCCTAACCCATATAGAACCCTACCACCATGGCAGCATCCGATTTCCTCCTCCCAGTGCGGGAGTTTCTGTCAACACCTTTCACGGCCGCTTTCTGCGCCGGTGGTGTGGCAGGCGCTGTCTCCCGCACCGTGGTCTCCCCTTTAGAACGTTTAAAGATTCTGTACCAGATACAAAGCGCCGGTCGCAATGAATACAAAATGTCCATTGTCAAAGCTCTGAAGAAGATGTACACCGACGAGGGTTGGAGAGGGTTCATGCGAGGAAATGGCACAAATTGCGTACGCATAATACCGTACTCTGCCGTCCAGTTCGGAAGCTACAATGTCTACAAACGCTTCGCCGAACCTTCACCTGGCGCCGAACTAGATCCCATTCGTCGACTCGTCTGCGGCGGCCTGGCCGGTATCACCTCTGTCACCTTCACCTATCCTCTGGACATTGTCCGTACGCGCTTGTCCATCCAGTCAGCCTCTTTTGCCGCGCTTGGAAAACACGAAGGGAAGCTGCCGGGGATGTGGCAGACCATGATTATAATGTACAAAAATGAGGGCGGTATGTTGGGTCTTTACAGGGGCATCATCCCAACAGTGGCTGGCGTTGCCCCCTATGTTGGGCTCAACTTCATGGTGTATGAATCGGTCAGAAAATACTTCACGGAACCGGGCGAGAAGAATCCTGTCTGGTATCGAAAGCTTGCCGCTGGCGCCATCTCGGGGGCGGTCGCCCAAACTTGCACTTATCCTTTTGATGTTCTCCGCCGGCGCTTTCAAATCAATGCAATGAATGGCATGGGATACCAATACAAGTCGATATGGGATGCGGTCAGAACCATTATCGCACAGGAAGGATTTCTTGGACTTTACAAGGGAATCATGCCCAATCTGCTCAAAGTCGCCCCGAGTATGGCTAGCAGCTGGCTCAGCTTTGAGATCACAAGGGATTTCTTGGTTGGCCTCGCTCCAGAAAAAGAGAATGGAGACCCCATCTGAGACCGACAAAGCCAGCCTAAAATTTTGGCTCTTTCATCTCACGCGATTCACCAAGGAACCGTTGAAGATCCTTCTACCGCACAGACAGAAAGATCGAAATCAATTGAAGCCCCGGAGAAGGCATAGCCTGCGCAGAGGGAAGGAATGGATGTTGTAATCAAGTGTCTCCATCCTTTACAGAAGAGCTGCGCCGCTTTGCAAGGGCTGCTGTATATTCCACATACAGGGGGGCTTGGCGAAATTTCACGGAGTCACAGGTCAGAGGAAAAACGGGTTAGAGAGACCTGGTGTGAGGCATTTTCTGGAGTATCAAGACAAGTCTATGATGGACTTGAAGGTTCAGTATTATTTTCCAGAGTAGATCAAGCTGAATATTAAATTGGTCACCCGCGTATTGGTGCCACGAGTGCTTCTGAAGATCCCGTCCATTAAAATTCTTTTTGAACGCTACACCTCCATCACGATGATATGCTCGCAACTAGACATGTCTGTCAAGGGAGCTGTTGATACTTGATCAACAGAAGTCAACCTCAACGCGAGCGATAGCTACCATGTCTGGAATTCGTCTGTTGTGGCTGTCCCACGTGACTGGCACTAGGTTTTCCTCCCCAAGAACAGTTTAGCTTACAGAAATCTTGGCACGCCGCACAGCGTTGTACCCGCTAGTTTCTCACGTCGACCAAATTTCCAGATTGAACTGCAGAGGACGTCGTCGACCCTTTCTCAATCAACAACATCCACCACAGCCAGCGATCATGGGTGTGTAAACTGCCGACACCAGGTCCTTGCGATGTCCTATTATTGACGCTAGTTTGCAGGTATCGACCTCGATCGCCATCACGTCAAGGCGAGCCACCGAAAGGCGCCCAAGAGCGACAATGTCTACCTCAAGCTCTTGGTGAAGCTCTACCGCTTCCTTGCCCGTACGTCCAAAAACACTGTCTGAGAAGATTTAAGAGAGCAGGGAAACTGACAAAGTGACTCTCAGGCCGAACCGATTCAAACTTCAACAAGGTCGTGCTCAAGCGCCTGTTCATGTCCCGCATCAACCGTCCTCCCATGTCCATCTCGCGCATCGCCAGCAAAGTCTCAACCGAGACGGCGCAAAAGGCGTACAAGGACAAGACCATCGCCGTCATCGGCACCGTCACGGACGACAACCGCCTGCTCACCGTGCCTGAACTCCACATCGCCGCACTGCGGTTCACCGCCACTGCCCGCGCCCGGATTGAGAAGGCCGGCGGTGAGTGTCTGACGCTCGACCAGCTCGCCATGAGACACCCGACGGGAAGCAACGTGGTGCTCTTGCGGGGACCCAAGAATGCCAGAGAGGCCGTCAAGCATTTCGGCTTTGGCCCGCACAAACACAAGAAGCCCTATGTCGAGAGCAAGGGGAGGAAATTCGAGAAGGCCCGAGGAAGGAGACGGTCCAAGGGTTTCAAGGTGTAGACCCGGCCTCCGTGTTACTCTTCTGCTGGTGGTGATGATGATACTGGCGGTGGTAGTGGTGGTGGTTCACTAGGTGAGGTTCCAAGAGCTGGTGTGAGAGGGAAGTTGCAAGAAGCGGGATGCCACTAGCTCTTGAGCACACCAAGATGGGCTTCCATCGAGATATGTGATTCTCTCTATCTCTCTATGGAAACGGAGAGCGGCAAATGACTATCCCGAGAAGTGAGCTGCTCGAGAGGCTGCCTTTGTCTCGATCCGTTCGTCGAAGCATCCTCTTGAAACGAACAATTAAAAAAAATACAGTTAACACAACGTTTTCATGCGAGGCGCCTCGGGACTTTCTGCGAGAGGAGAGAAGGGAGGGGACGCAAAAGACGAACAAAATCAATCCAATGCAATTGATTCAAACAAACCCTTTTCAAGGAAAAAGAGGGAGTCAGCTTCGATTGGAATCGGTCCCCTTGTGCTTTTTGTCTTGTTTGTTTTCAGTCCAACTTTTTTGAGCTCATGTGCCGTGAAAACGCCCATGATGCAAAGAGGAACTGCTCAATACTGCCCACTTATCACGTTGGAGTAGCAGCAACAACATTACCACAACCACGGCCATTCCTTTTCCCCTTCCATCCAACCCCAACCCGCCACCTAGTCCCGCCCGTCAACGGCATCGTCGTTATATCTCCATCTTCTCATGTAGAAAGCTCCTCTTCCCTTCCCCGTCGCCGTACTCTCCGGCGCCCTGACCGCGTCCCCTGATCTTGTACTTGTAGATGGTCAACCCTTCCAATCCCACAGGGCCCCTCGAATGGATCTTGTTCGTGCTGATGCCGACCTCGGTGCCGAAGCCGTACCTCATCCCATCCGCGAACCGGGTGGAGGCGTTCCAATACACGCCGGCCGAGTCAACGGCGGACATGAACTGTTCGGCGGAGGCGGAGGAGCGCGTGACGATGGCGTCGGTGTGGTGCGACGAATTAGTGTTGATGTGCGCGATGGCGCGTAGGAGTGCAGGCTGGTCCGGTTCTTCTTCGTCGCTGGCAGTTGAGGCAGAAGAGTGGCCGTTTGGTAGTAATGTGCCGCTGGTGCCGGTGACGTTCGAGGGTGGTGGTGTTCCTGGGATCGTTTTAACAGCCATAACCAGGTCTAAGAACTCGGTTGAAAAGTCCTCCTCAGTCGCGTCTTGTAGTAAGGCTGCGTTCGCGGGACTCAGCACTGCCGTCAATGCCTTCTTGCTCGGTTCGTCGCACCGTAGACTCACGCCCTTCTTTTGCAGCTCTTCAACCACGCTCGGCAGCACCGTCTTCAGCACGGCCTCGTGCACAAGAAGCGTCTCTGCCGCATTGCACGCGGCAGGGTAATCGCATTTGGAGTCCACAACCACCTTGACCGCCACGTCTTTCTCCGCGTCCTTGTGCAAATATACCGAGCACAGGCCGTCGGCATGCCCCAAGACCGGAATCTTTGTGTGGCTCTTGACATACCTCACCAGTTCATTGCCGCCTCTCGGGATCACGAGGTCAATGTACCGATCAAGGTCTAGTAGTTCATCAATGACATCCCTCGTCTTGACCAACTGTATGGCTCCGACAGGAACATGGGTGCTGGCCAGGGCCTCCCCGATGACCTTGGCGATGGCCTCGAAGCTGTCGGAACTTTCCTTGCCGCCTTTCAAAATGGCCGCGTTGCCGGACTTGATGGCCAGGGCCGAGATGTTGGCGATGACCTCGGGGCGAGCCTCGAAGATAATAAGCAAGACGCCGATGGGACAAGACACCCTCTCCAGTTCCAGGCCCTGATCTAACCTCGTGCGCAGATCGACCCTGCCGATCGGGTCGTGCAAGTCCCGCACGTCCAGGATCCCCTTCAACATGTCCTCGTACTTGCCCTTTCGGCCCAGGTCGAGACGCTTCAGTACCGACTGGCTTAGCTCGCCCTGTGACGAGGCCTGCTGCGCGCGGGCCATGTCGAGCGCGTTGGCCGCGAGGATGTCAGACTTGTGCTGCACGAGTGCTGCATGAATTGCTGTCAGTGCGGCGTTACGCGCTGCGAGCGGCAGGATGGAGAGGGTGTGCGCGGCAAGTGAGGCGGATTGCGCACACGAGACGGGGCTCGAGTTTGTGAGTGACATGGTGGTGGCTGTCAAGTTCTTCTCTGTTTCGCGAATACCTTGATCTGCTCTGTCTCTCGAGGCGAAATTCCAAACCTCGAGTCACTTTGCCAACACGTCACCTTGGTTCATTCAACAATCAAGCGGGAAGTCGAGAGAGGGGTGAGGATTGGGAATGGAGGGTGTGTATTTTGCCCATATGTCGTTGTGAAGGCAGTGCTGCTTTTGCTGGTTGGCGCGCCCTTCCAACAGTCAAGAATCAAGAGTCATCGGCTCTGGGTCCATGTATGGAGTAAGAGGTTACCGTCTCGCCGTCCAACTAATTAGCGTCTTTTTCCCGCCACTCGCTTTGCCGCTTGAAAACCCTTGATACAGCGAAGCTGGTTACATTAGCTGATGGTAGGGGTCACGTAGCACCCAATGATGATGTCTTGTTTGACATGTAATATATGGACTACCTAGTATCTAGGGCATAGGGTTCATCTGATTCTTCCTAGTAGATGTGCTAGAGGCTAGATCTGGTCTATACACATATTTACATCGCACTTGGTGTTCCCTTGGAAGGCCCTCGAGACTGAGCTTCGAGGAATATTATTCTCGCCCGGTTCTTTCAGGGGCTCTGGATTCCGTTGCACTTCTTCTGAAACGAGGCATTCTATTCCTGTGCTTCCGCATTCAATGTATTTGCCTTTCGTCTATGAGGATTTTCATGTCTCATCAGCTCATCATGCCTGTTATTGCTACAATGCTCACAACGACGACGGATGGACGACAACAACACAGGCACACCAATAACCGACTGCAAGGGTGGTCCTTCTGCATCGCGATAAAGATATTGTCCAAGGATAATTTCGTTTCCGGCATAGGTCCACTTACTTCTTGACCAGCAAGCTCGTTCCGCCCATTTCCTCGGGCTGATCGATTCCCATCGCCGCGAGAATCGTTGGTGCGACATCTCCGAGAACGCCGTCCTGTTTCTTCAAGCTCCATCCTTCAGGTGCATTGGCCATGACAAAAGGAACCTTGTTCGTTGTGTGAGACGTCTTGGGCTTGCCCTCCTCGTTCAACATTTCCTCGGCGTTGCCATGATCGGCGGTCACGAAGAGAATATAGCCTTCCTTCTTGCACGTCTCGTACACGGTTCCGATGGCAACATCTGTGGCGGCCACTCCCTTGATCGCCGCCTCGTAGACACCCGTGTGCCCAACCATGTCCGGGGGTGCGAAATTGTTCATCAAGAAATCGTACTTTTGATCTGCTATCCTTTCGCTGAGCTTGTCTGCCACTTTCTGAGCGCTCATGGGAGGGTCGAGATCGTATGTTGCCACTTTGGGGCTGGGGATCAATTCTCGATCTTCGCCCGCGAATTGTTTCTCAACCCCTCCGTTGAAGAAAAACGTCACATGAGCATACTTCTCCGTCTCGGCGACGTGACATTGTTTCAGACCTTTCTTGCCCAGCCACTCGGCTAGCACATTGCCCATGTGCTGGGGCGGGAAAGCGATCGGGAAGGTATAGTCAGTTTTGTACTGTGTCATGGTGGTGATTTCGATCCCTTTGGGATAGGGGAAGTCGGGCTTAGGAGATCGATCGTAATCACCTAAAAGCTGCGTGACTTCTCGGACCCGATCAGATCGATAGTTGAAGAAGAACAGGGTGTCATTGTCCTTGACCCTCCTCTCGTCGCCGCCGATGATAATGGGCTTGAGGAACTCGTCATTCTCGCCCTTTTCATACCGAGCCTTGATCGTGGCAACGGGATCGGATGATTCTTCTCCCTCGCCGAGCACAATGCCCCTCATGCCAATCTCGACGCGATCCCATCTCTTGTCCCGATCCATGACATAGTATCGGCCGACTACCGTAGCCAGCTCACCGATGCCAAGTTCTTTGAGCTTGTCGAGTAATTGTTGCATGTAACCAGCAGCACTCTTGGGATCAGTGTCTCGGCCGTCGCCGAAAAAGTGAATGAAAACTTTGGGGACCTTCATTTCTTTGGCGACTTGGAGGAGCGCGAACAAATGGTTGATGTGGCTGTGGACGCCTCCATCACTGATAAGGCCAAGGAGATGAAGTCTGCCATTGCCGTCGACCGCTCGCTGGAAGCACTTCCTGATATTGGGAACCTTGTTCATCTCCTGCTTCTTGATCGTCTGATCAATCCTCACAACATCTTGCCATACCACTCTGCCTGCGCCAATATTGAGATGACCGACTTCGGAGTTTCCCATCAAGCCTTCAGGGAGACCAACGGCGAGGGAGGAGGCCTCGAGCTCGGTGTAGCCTTGAGCAGTTTTGGACCCTTCTCTGGCGAACTCGTCCATGACCGGAGTTTCGGCGGCAGCAATGGCATCGCCTTGCGGAGGAGAGCTTTCGGACGGGATACCCCATCCATCGATGACAACTTAGAACCGCATTAGGATATTGGTCCCATTGCAATAAGAGTTCCGATGTCTACTTACTCAAGACTGCCTTGTGCTCGACCTTCGTCATGGTGGCGGGGGCCCGAGAAGCTCGTCAACTGGAACTCCGGTTATGGGAATGCGAACTCGGTGGGAGAAAAAGATGCAAAGGGTGATCAATGATGCATCAAGGTATCCGAACTGCTTCTAATACAATTGACACGGTGTACTAGGGGGAAAATAGGTGTGAGGATAAATTTTGTTGACCTGAGAAATGCAGGAATTGGAGGGGCTGATTGGGCGATGACGGCAGCTTTGTCGCAGCCAAGCAGCAGCAAGTGGTTAACTGGCGGGGCAGAAGAAAAGCCTGGGCGAAAAAGGGGCGTGATAGTCGGTTGGAGGGGGGAGGGGCACGAAGGACGGGAGTTGAGTATCATCAGAGAGTTCTTCGGGTTGCTTAGGCGTGGCGAAGCTACCCCAGCACCCGGGACTTTCCCAACCGCAGCACCTAGCCTAACTAACCGCCTGGGGTCTCAAGTGGCGTTGTTGCTTAGGGGATCGACAAGGTCTGCCCATTGACACCACAACCATCAACTGCAATTACGTTGTTGCCTTCTGCTTCATTCGGTCTCCCTCCTTTTTCGCTTGATCTCTTGGAGGCTCACAGGACTGACAATCGCCACTTTCGTCCCCCGTCATCTCATTGATGTTCCCTTGCGCACCACTTCCTTTCTGTTTGACGAGCACGGCGGCCCGGAGTGGGATCTTTGGACCGGCCCTCGACTCTACCGGGCATAGAAGTGCTGTGTGCGTGGCGACCGCAGCAGCTTTTCCTGTGACCTCTCATGGTGAGAATCGTGCATCTTGAGTATAGGGCGTCGCAATGTTTTCTGAACGGTGAGATAGAGATGATCTGAGGGCAAGGCGAAGTGAGTGAGAGTGAAAGAAAAAGGAGCTTAACAGGTCTTTGGCATCACCAGCATTGCCTTTCCCCTATCGCCTCTGGGTCTTTGGAGGATGGCAGTGGCCGCCGCCGCAGGGATCGGCTCAGGGTGAGCATAAAAAGCCACAACCTTCCCTGTTCCATCATTCGCGGGACAGCACCGGAAACATCTTGCGGACCATGCCCAATTGGCCTGGAATCTGCATATGGTGGACCTTAGTCGCTCCATTTTCCGTCATCATGAGAGGGCTCGAGGGACATGTTACTCCAAACAGGCGGGAACAACAGTCCTGTCTGCCCTGTTCACTTGAAAAGCCATTTTGATCGTCCTTTCGCAAGACGCTAAAGGTTGATCCATCTTGCAATTTTCAAATGCCTACCTCTCGAATTCAAAGTCTCAGCAACGTCCATATGATCGCTTTCGGTACTGCCTGATACGAGGATCTACCATTAGCAATTCTACTTCGTCGCCTCCTATGTTGCTCCATTTACAGGTTAGCCGGCCAAGGCCTTCTCTGTGCTTATAATTCTTGGTCTGTGGTCGGTTCGCCCTCTCTGGAACACAAAAACCCGGGTCATCATGTCGAGTCCCAGGAGGGATCACGCTGGCCCGTCGCAGGGCCAGCGCCGGCGGGGAACTTCTCCTCCCAAGCCACGCTCTTCAAAGAAGACCAACCCTTCCAAAGTGCGCACTTCACACGCTTGCGATCGTTGTCGCATGATGCGGACAAAGTGTTCCGGAGGTGAGCGATGTTCCAAATGCGTCAAAGACGACGCAACCTGCGTTTACGGTGATCGCAAACGGGAGCGCAACAAAAAGTATGAATGGTGTGGCTAATCCCCAACATATGTCGCTGACTTTGAGCAGAGATCTGGCCGAAAGCCTAGACCGCGTCAGCTTGTTGGAAGAAGAGAATACCAAGTTAGTCGGCGTCCTCCGCTCAGTCACAGGGTGGCCAGGCTTCCGACCAGAGGAGCACGGCAATGTCATGGAGATCTTGTCAAAGGTAGTCATTGGTGTATCTCACACAGTCCCGAATTCTTTCAGCGCCTAACAAACTTGTCAGTACTCGGAACGAGATGATGAAGAAGAGGAAGAAGAAGAGCCTGGACGCGAGCCAAGCAGCCAGTCGCGGAGCCGGATCGCCCCTTCTAGCTCACAACTTCCATCGTCTTCGTCGAGCCGACATCGGTTACAAAAAAGCGAAGTTTCCGGTGAAACCAAGGCGGGGTCGAGCGTGGGTTCTCCCCGCAAACAAGGGGAGTTGAACCATATTGTGTCCCTGGATCTCGGAGGTGGCGCCTCTGGCTTCATTGGGAAGATGTCAGAGGTCTCTTGGATTCAGCGTGCGTTTGAGACAGTTCGAGGACACAAGGCCGCAGAGCCTGCTACGTTGCACGCAGCAGAAATGGATGAGCATCCCGCAACAACTACAGACTTCGTCTATTTCATGGATGACACCAATGTATTGGCCGTAGATGAGGATTACGTGGATCCATCTCACTGGCCTCCTGAAAAGTCTGTGGTGATCTTGTCCGAAGCATTCTTTCATTCGATGCAAGGTGCATTCCATTTTGTTCTACGCGAAGAATTTCTGCAACGAGCATTCTCCTTTTCGGGCAAAGGGTCGACTCCGTCGTCGTGGACACAACGACGCTGGTTGTCGTTGGCAAATCTCGTGTGGGCTATTGGGTCGAAGTGGCTACAGATAACTGAAATGGCCGACCAGGATAACCATGGAGAACATCTGCTCTACTATGCAAGGGCGCGGGCCCTGGGCCTCGACCACAGAGTCATGTTCGATCATCCTGATATTGAGCGCGTCCAAGGCATTGGCCTTTTGGCTTTCTACCTTTTTGTCAACGGATCCATCACGCGGTACGTTCCTGTGATCTTGTTGGGCTCAAGTATCCTAATCACTCGAACAGGGCGTGGAATACGCTAGGCCATGCTACCCGTCATGCCACGGCACTCGGTCTGCACTTGAGAATAACCGATCCGCGCGTGAGCGAAGCGGACAAGGCACGGCGAGCTCGCACGTGGTATTCGCTCTACAGCCTCGAGATCTTGATTGCCGAAATTACGGGGCGGCCTAAATCCATATTCTTGTCGGATGTGACCATACCTATAGACCATTTCTGGTCGGTTCCGCAAGAAGTCCAAGAATTCTCTGGACAAATCGACAATTTCCAGTCGCCGGCTGGCTCGAGGAAGACTTGGCTCGACTACTTGAATGCGTGCCGCAATACATCCCAGATGACCGGCGGAGTGGTCCCTTGGAAAAGTTTTGCATCGGTAGGACGCAGCATCCCCACTTCGTACTTGCCTCAACGACTATATCTCTGTCGCCTAAGTGACAAGGTTGCATCGCAGATGTACAGCGGGACGTCTGAAGATTCGTGGTATGAGGTCCAACGGAAGATGGGCAATTTAGAGACGGAGTTGAGAGCCTGGGCCGAGAGTCTCCCTCAGGAGTTGGCTCTCCAGGGCCAGGATCCTACGGACACGGATCCTCGAATTAAGATCGAACTAGCCATGTATTACCACAGCGTGGAGATGATCCTCAATCGCCCATGCCTCTGCGAGGTGCTGATTGAGGATGAGTCGGTCCATTCGAAAGAATTCAACCGAAGTTCGGCACGAGCCTGCGTGCATGCAGCCATGTCCATGTTGTCTCTGATGCCGGACTACCCCACTGCCCATGAGGCGTACCAACTGCTTCCTTGGTGGGCGCTCCTCCATTTTGTGGCGCAAGCAGCTTCTGTGTTGCTGCTGGAGCTCGCTCTCGGCGCGCCCCATTTTAGGGACGAGATACCACAGGTAGTGACATACTTGCGCAAGGCAATGGCATATCTCTGGTGCATGAGCAACAATTCGCTGTCGTCTTACCGAGCGTGGAGGATATTCCGGCAGCTGCTGACCGAGGTCATGGAGCGGCACGAGGATTTGGACATGAGCGACGTCCCTTCTGAGGCGCCGCCGCCTGCTGCGTGGAATGAAGAGCTCGAACAGCTGACCGTGAAGTCTTTCGCGAGTCTAAAGTACGGCTTTGCAGAACCCATGCAACAATAACGGAGGGGAAAAAGAGGGCGGGCACGAATTGATCCTAGCCACAAGCTCAGGATTAGTCGATGATGTTGATCCTGGCAAAATATATACTCCGCACACAAGAGAAAACAACTTTCGGCATGATGATTCCTGAACGAGCATATGCATGTGCCGGGAATTTTCATTGTGGATTAAAGAGAGGGGTGGTCTAGTGAGATCTTCTGGGCCATACATACCGAGTATACGCATTCCCTACTCTGTCCATCAACGTTCCGATTCAGCCCTCGTTCGACAAGCTTTTAGTCGTATTGGAGACTACCCTCATCGCCGTCGTCAGCATAGAGTTCCGGTTCGATCCAGCCAAGAACAATGCGGGTAGTCTCAAGTGCATCAGATATTGATCCAACGAGGTCTCCTCTACAGAATGAGGGCAAACGCACTTTGAAAGCGCGAAACGCTTTCGAGCCGGTTGAGTCCGATTCATGCTCCTATCGGTACTGTCATCGCTTGGTCTAGATCCGTTTGAGTTTGTTTGTGTGTTGGGCTGTAATTCATCTTTCTCGTCAAGATTGGCGTTGGCCGGAGGAATCTCCTTCCCTTTCGTGGATGGGTATTGTGCTCCGCCACAAATGTAGATCGTGTTGATGGTCAGCATTAGAATTCTTGAACCTCGAGGACTTGATGCTCCCTCTCGGTGATGCATGGCGTCTCTCCGGTAGATTTAATGGGCTCAGCATGCGGTGAGAGGGTGAATGCGTCGTGGACTTGGTGGCGGAAGACATAGGACCCCTTCGTGTCGCAGCCTGGGCCCACCAAGACGACAGAGTTCCTAGTCCCTGCCAAAGGCTCCCGGGAACTGTTGATTTCCCAGCCCAAACGCCCACCGGTAGTAGTCAAGACCACTAAACGATGGCTTGCTGGCAGGCACCTACCGGCGAACCCCACGGGAGGATTGCCTGCCCTGGAAGAGAAGCACTGTGAGGACTTTTCATACACACCTCAATACATACTCTCGACACCGAACCACTACCACACGATTTTTACACACAGCCTCCTTTCCTCTCCTCTGTTCTCGTTGCAAACTTCGGGCTGCGAATTTCCACAATCTCTTCTTACACCTAGAGAATATATATCAAACTCCAACTTGGGTTCCATAAGGGGTGACGAATCCGATTTTCTACGCCCTCGCACAGTTACTATCAGCTATGAAGCGCCCACACACCGAAGCATTCCCAGAGAACGTGCACCAGCCTTTGTTGTCTGAAACGCAGGCACTCGCATTTCCTGCGCGCCAAAAGCTGCTAGATGACCCCTCAATACTCGACGAGGTTCATAACACAGCCCAGCAAAGTCCGCTCTGCCCGCAGTGTACAACAATCCGATTTCGAGAAAATCTTCGCCATATCGAGTAGGTGATGTGGTCATGGCGCCTAGCGTAAGACGTCAAGTAAAAGACATCGACTGGGGATGCTCTCTTTGCGCTCTGATTCGATCTCTCAATCCTCCCGAACTCTGGGAAGACGGCGACCCGGACATCCTCCAAGACGGATGCCATCTTCTCAGGACTTATGATAGCCTAGAGATCCTGAAAGCTCAACGGCAAGGCGAGTAGAGTTAGTTCAAAACCCAAGTGTCGTGCTTGCCGTAGTTCTTGGGAAGCCAAAAATGGGGCTTAATGGAGACCGATCGAACAAAGCCATCGGCGTGGGGTTGATATACCCGCTTCAACCGCTTAACTTCAACAGCAGCAGTGATTACGAGTATTGCGGCAGAAAGGTACATTGCAATCAAATCAACACTGCGCTCGCCCGCTCCCGGATTCAGGAATGCCAATGAACGCTGCTCACATCCTCGCTACAATTTTAAGTGGAGAAAACCCTCATGGGGGAGATGCGGCTAGATGACTATGTAGCTAATTTAAGGAGATGCTTGGGGCAAGATCCTTTTCGATGGTGGCATCCATCCACATTGAGATATCGCCGACAGAGAAGACATCTAACTCCAACGCCGAATCGCGTCACCCGTTCGGGACAGCCCCGTCGCTGCTCTGAACAGACATAAGGCCCCCTAAGGCTGAGCTCCGCCAGCCTTGCTCCTCAAGCTAATCATACTGCTGGGAATTATAGTCAAGACGCTAGGAGAGTGATATTACTGTAAAAGCGGCCGTTCGGCGCGGGTAGACCTACTCCACAACACGCAGTATTACTCCGTCCCCCGCATTATTGAAATATCGCCTCGGTTCCCCGGACGTCGGTTCTTCCACAGGTACCTAGACCGGCCGGGATAAAAGGAATGCTGAGCCAATATCAGGCGCATCTGTATCCTAACATCACCCACAGTCTTTCTCGTTGTACTGTGTCCCATATCCAAACATGCCATACCTCGCCCGTAACGGTGTTCGATTGTACTATGAAGTTCACGGGAGCGGGCCTCCTCTTCTGCTGACCCATGGCTACTCATCCACTTCTGCCATGTGGGCCGGTCAAATCGCCGCTCTCTCAAAGAGCTTCAGGCTCATTCTCTGGGACATGCGCGGGCATGGGTCATCTGACTATCCTGCCGACCAATCCATGTACAGCGAAGCCCACACGGTCGAAGACATGGCGGCGATTCTCGACCAAGTCTGCGGTCGCGGCAGTATCGCCATTGTCGGTGGTCTCTCATTGGGCGGATACATGTCGCTGGCATTCTATCGCGTCTACCCCGAGAGAGTGCGTGCGCTGCTCATCATCGACACGGGCCCAGGCTTCAAGAAGGACGCTGCTCGTGAAGAGTGGAACAAGACTGCCCATGCGACGGGGAAGAAGTTCGAAAGCGAAGGACTGGGCGTCTTGCAGGGCATGAGTGCCGAGAGAGCCACTGTGAGCCACCGCGACGCGAAAGGGCTAGCGCTTGCCGCGCGCGGTATGCTTGCACAAAGGGATTCGAAAGTCATTGATTCGTTGCCGAATGTCAAGGTGCCTAGTCTGGTGGTCGTGGGGGCCGATGATACTCCCTTTTTAGCGGCAAGTGAGTACATGGCCAAGAAGATACCTGGGGCGAGAAAAGTTGTTGTACCGAATGCTGGCCATGCTGTCAATATCGATCAACCCGAGAAGTTCTTGGAGGCTGTAATGCCTTTCCTAGAGGAGGTCAAACACAATAAGAAGCCGAAGGCGTTGCTGTGAGGCAGAGAGAATTTGAACGGAGACGACCTGACAAGATAGCGGCATTCCCGGTGGGAGCTTGAATGAAACGCCAAATGAACCCTCGCTGCCTGTGGATAGTCTTGTTTTTATTCGTGTTCTTTTTCGGTTTGTTTGATTGGTTGGTTGGACTTTGTTTGGTTGGACTTTGTTTGGTTGGACTTTGTTTTTGGGTGTTTTTTTTTTTTTTCAATTCTGCCGCGCCGTTGGAACTTTTGCACTCTCCGCCCACCTACACACAACAGATTGTAGCCCAATATTCTGAAAACAAACAGGCCACCAAAAAAGAAGAGAGCGCAAAAAAAGGGGAGACTTACCTCGTGCAACTTACCTTTCGAACTAAAGACTTACCTGGATACATTGTCCTATCCCGCCGCCGCTTCCTAGCCAGATCTCGCCAGGCGTCCCTGGACGGTCCTGTCCGGCTGTGGAAGCATTGGAATATTGGGTCTGGTCCCCCTGACGCAGTGTTCCCAAGCTAAGATAGGCGATTGAGCAGCCCTACGTTACAGGGGGGACCGTTTTTCAAACACCGCTCGATGGCCCGAGATCGGGCTGTCAATCTTGAGGACATTTTCTGGTTAATAAAATATAAGCCCTAGAAATGAGTGGATATCTGGGTATGGTAGATGTCGCTGCTTGGCGGTAGTGAAAGGGCGTAGGCTGCTAGTGTATTATACATAACAGCGAGCAGAGTTTTCGCAGAATTTTCACAGGGGTATCGTTCTCTTCTCTTCTCTTCTCTTCTCGGCTGATTGTTTCCTTGCTCATCCTGTAAATCACAGCCAGGGATAGTTGGTTTGTCGTCTCAAAATGAATCCAATGCCTTGGCCGAGTAGGGTGTCTTCGGCAAGGGAATTGCGCACTCCCAAGACCAGGCCAAATCTCGGATGGTGAGTGGTCATCACGACAAGTAATGACAAATTCGTCCAGGCTGGTACGTCTCTCGCATCTATTGGCAAATGACGGGTTCCAGGGCGGCAACTTTCTCACCCTGCAGAGGTAGAGTATCGAGGCTCAAGTCTTGTGTCCAAAGGCTTCCGCGGATGGCAGGTGGTCTAGGACAAGTCCCCTACCGCAGAAGCCTTTGGACCGACTCTCAGGCTGTTCTCGGTGTTCAAATCTGCGATAGATAATGTCCTCCTACCATTATACGATATGGGGATCAACAGCATCCGACCTCAAGCCAGATTCTTCCCCCGGCGAGCGATGAGAATCCAGGACGACATCCTTATGAAGACAATTCTTTCTTGACCGCTTAGACAAGCTAGTCCAGCTTGAAGCCCATCGACATGAAGGTTGATCCATATGATATAGTGGAGTCAGTCAAAGCCATGCATCGGCTTGATGGAGGTGATATTGTCTACGGGTTTGGGGGCTTTCGGATACGGCGAAGCAAGGCTCCTAATGTGATTCGGGCACTAACGCTGATGACGGAGACACGGGGTGTGCAGGAAGCGGGTGGAAGGGTCTCTTGAGTCGAATTCTCTGGTACCAAAGGGCATTCTCTGCAGTAGATGTATTTCCAGCACATGGAAGGCTTTTTCCCCTTCGACCCTTCATCCAAGTTCGTGTGGTGCATGTGATGGAATTTCAAGGCAAGTTAGCCGATGCCAAACCACCGAGCCACCTCCACCACCTCCAGCGCCTCTTCGCCTTCCTGCCTTGCAACGCATCTTGCCATGCACTGCTTTGACCCATAAACTACTCCCTGTATTGAATGCTGGCGTTTCCTTCCTGATTTGTTTCACTCCTTTCTCTTTGCTCTCGACGGCGGAGCAGATTCTTAAGATCCGTTCGCCTTTGGCTTGTCAGTCATCACAGCCTCAGATGCGCCTGCAAGCACATCGATTCTTCTTTGGCCTCACCCTGCGGTCTCAATGACAGCGATCATCTCCGACCCCGCGAACGTTTCGACTTTGTCAGCCTAGCTTTAGCACACACGCATACTTCAATCTCACCATGAAGACCACCTATTCGCTGATTGGCCTCAGACGGTGGTCATGCAAAAGCAAGGAATTACCTCTTGTCCCTACAATCAAGGCTATTCACGTCTACGACTTTGACAACACTCTCTTCAACAGTCCCCTACCTAACCCCCAGATATGGGCGCAACCTACGGTCAGCCTGCTTCAGACATACGAGACTCTCGCCTATGGAGGATGGTGGCATGACAACAGCATCCTTGCAGCCACAGGAGACGGGCTTGAGACCGAAGAACCCCGCGCATGGGAGGGTCACTGGAACGAAACTGTGGTCGAACTTGTCGATCTGAGCAGTCAAACCAAGGATGTCCTCACTGTCTTGCTCACCGGGAGAGGAGAGACGTATTTCGCGGATCTGGTCAACAGGATTTGTAACTCAAGGAAACTCGACTTTGACATGGTCGTGCTGAAACCGGAAGTGGGCCCCTCCAGCCAGCAATTCGAGAGCACTATGGCTTTCAAGCAGGAATTCCTCAAAGAGTTGGTCTTTACGTATAAGAATGCGGACGAGATCCGGATCTACGAGGATCGCGCCAGACACGTCAAAGGCTTCAGGGATTACTTTGAGCGTTTGAACAAATCATTCCTGTCGCACCCAGTCGACCAGCCCCCCCCACCTCGGAAGCCCATTACCGCTGAAGTGATCCACGTCTGTGAGTTGAAGTCTACCCTAAACCCAGAGACCGAAGTCGAGGTCGTCCAGCGATGTGTCGCTCGCCATAATGAGGCAATCTCTAATGGGGGCCCAACTGTGACCAAGACTGTCCGCAAGCACCTGAAGATCGACCAGCAGTTTTGCTACTTTGGCTATATGATCAATCAAACCGACTCTGCTCGTCTCCTGACACTGTTCAATATCTCACCTGGTATGATTGATTCCGGTGAAGTTCGTCTTTTTGCCTCGAGTATCCTCATTACGCCTTATTATCCTCGGAACGACATTCTCAAGAAGGTTGGCGGACGCGGGAAAAAGGTCACTTGGCAGGTCACCGGCATCGCCAAGTTTGAAGACCGTATTTGGGCTGCTCGTGTTGCACCGGTATCAGATACACAAATATATACGCAAGATCCTACTCCCCTTGTTGTCCTTGCCGTCCGAAAGGGGTCCAGGCAGATTGACGCAGCGAGAATACCTTCCTGGCAATCCGTCCCTCCGGATAGGGCATTCATGTTCGAAACCACAGTAGCTGACAAGGTCATGTTGAAAATCGAAGACGATCACTCCCGAAGTCAACGATGGCCAGGAGGAACCCGGAGGGGTCATTTTGGCAATGATGCTGAGACTGGACATAAGCGGAAATATGCATCAGACGAACAGAACTCGCGGAACAGGGATTCGTATGCGCGGGTCGCGGCTGGAAGCGACAGAGATGATGGTGGTTACAGAGGAGGGAGATTTGCACAACGTAACCAGCAAAGTAAGGCTAACTTCAACAATCGCAACAATCCAAACCTATCCGGAGGGAGAGGGAACAATCCAGGCGCAAATGTTGGCACCAGACAGCGTGGTGGCGGCCAAGGTGCGGGCGGGCAAAACAGAGGGCGAAACAGTGGACCTGCTGGTGGAGGTGGCGGTCGAGGAGCACCGGCGTACAAGAGCCTTGACGACTATCCACCAGGAAACTTTGACGGGGCCAACGATCCGAAGACTGGGTCGGGCGAGATGGTCATGAACTATTAGTGCTGGTATCTCCTGGCGATTGTGATTTGTTGCGGGATGCGGCATAGGGGCGGAGTCCCTGTCCAGCTTTATGATACCAAGAGGGGCGTTGGCATATTCATCGGTCACGGGGCTTCACCGCACAGCTCGGCGTTGGACTGGAACGTGGTGCACATGGGATGGGTATTGCTTGAAAATATGCTGGAGACGGAATAGGTTTCAGTCGGCTCGATCCAACTATTCTGGTCGAAGAAAACTGGTTGCTGGGATAGCATTGTCGCTATCGAAGCAATGCAGTGTTGTCGGGCGGAGACGGCCTCGTCAGGGCTACTCCTTTAGATGTATCACATGATATCAGTTTGCTCAAAGGGAACATGTATGATTAGAATAGCCAGGAAGAAGAGATGATCTTTTTGGTTGCGTCTCCCCATGGCTTTTAACTGTTTTCCACCTCCAACGATGTTTGCCATGAGCAGCCATCATTTCATGACTGATTGTCGTTCCGCCTAAGCAGCACCTAGCCGACTAGTGAGTGGGCGAGTAGATATCCATTTTAAGAAATACTAATAGACGGGGCTTTCCATCCCCCTCCTCGCGCGCTCTGGCCCATAATAGCACTGTCGAGAAGGTGAAAGACGACCTTTTTTTGGTTATTGGCGCCGTGCACCGTCCAATTTGAGCAATTGTCCAAACGGACGTTTTGTCTCGTGTCTCTCGGTTTCGTGTCTTGTGTCCTGTAGCGGAGGCTAAATATCCAGTGTGCCGGAGGACATATCTGATGACGCACGTACGGCGTGGACACCCTTCCCGAGAAAGCGCGCGACAAGAGAGTACAAAAATGTAGGAGACGTCGCATCGGAGTTGGCGGGGTGGGTTGATTTCATGCCCCCGAGGACGAAGGAAGGGAAAGATAGGCGGTTCTTTGCTAGCTCGTCGCGCGTGGACGGGCCAGTTAGGTACGCTCATGCTCCTACACTAGGCAGTCTTTGTGTTCTGACTGTTCCCGTGTCCGTGCAGGGCAGGGTAGTCGGTAGGTAGCGAGGTAGATGGGGTACTTTTCAAAAGCCATCACCCTCATGCCACTCCCTGGCGTACTCCTTCGCCCGGATCTGTGGATCGAATCCTCTCTTTAGGGCCTGCTCCCTCGCCTCGTCCAACTCCCTGCCCAACCGGCCGCTTTGATCTTTGATCTTCTTGAATTTCTTGCTGCCGCCCTCGTCGCCGCCGCGCCACAGGCCCTGCAGTTTCCTGTCCAGGACCTCCTTCGCCCGAAACGAGTCCAACCACTTACGCAGCCCTTGCTCGCCGCCCTCGAAGCAGATCCCGTATCCGTCGCAGTAGCATCTGTGTGGCGACGGGCACCACTCAAAAACGCCCGTGAATATGTAGTGCCATGAATACTCCAGGATGCGGCCCGAGATTTTGTCGTCGAGCGCGGTCCTGAGCAGCCAGTCGCGGTAGTGCACGTAATCTCTCAGTGGGCGTTGACGGATGCGCTCGCCCGAGACGGCGAACTGTGCACAGCATGGTTGCGAGATGGCGCGGGGAATGGCAACGTCGCTCCCAAACAGGTCGTCGAAGAGAGACGAGCTGAGGGCCGGTTCTTCGGGCTTGCGCTGGAGATCGTACCTCCACTTTGGCCGGTCGACGTGCAGCCAGTCTGGGCAGCCCGGGTCCAGGTGGCAGCGCGTGTTGAAGTAGCCCTGTCGCATGACGTGGGCGTCCGAGAGGAGTTTGATGGTGATGGCGGTATCGGTGTCCAGCACGATGTTGTTGTGCCAGCTTTTCTTGGGCGGGTGAAAAAACAAGACAATGTCAGGCAGAGAATCATAGTGGTCGATTATGTAGGTCAGATAGGCCATAGCCTCGTTACCTTTGTTGGCTGGCAGACCAGAGTAGTGGGGCGAGTCGACCGTGTATATCTTCCTGGGCAGCTCGGGGAGGTCCTTGTCAAGCCAAGACGCGTCTTCAGTCGACAGGCGCGCCATGACCAGAACACGGGAGTAGTTCTCTCCAGCTGGTTTGGCAGTGCCGGGGGAGAAGAGAGAGGGGTTATATGATGGTCCATCTTGGTATGATTGCTCGGGGGAGAAGTTGCCGAAGCCGTTCAGAAGGAGTGTCAAGATGAAGGCCGCGAGCACCAGAGATAGTATAGATGGTCGGCGAAAGAAGGGCATGGTAGATCAAAATAGATGGAAATAGGAGAAGAGAGATCACCGTCTTCTTTTGCCCTTCATGTTGCTCCACAGGGGGGGGAATCTCCAGACTGAGCGGGTGGTTTAGAAGGGAGGAGTCTTTTTTTTTCGTCTCTTCTACGACTCCCAGATCAACCAGTTCAATATATAATAGCCAAGGTCTTTAGGTCCTTCCCGTTTGCGGCTAACCCGAGAGCCAGAAAGACAGGGGCAGGGGATGAGAAACAACCAACGGAAGATAAGATATCAAGGACGAACGGGAGAAAGACGTGAGATTCTCCATGAGAGTCAGGTAATAGTGGCCGGGATGGTTTTGCCCAAGAATGTATATTGGTTTGTTGTTCTCAGCGGTGGGGATGACAAGGGATTCTTGGAATCATGTCGCGTCTTGAACCCGTCATCAATGCCTTTTGCGGCTCGTGGGAGACAAGAGGGGGTATGAATCCAATTTCTCTTGTGGTGGTGGAGGAGTTGACATGGTGGGCGAGAATGAAATTGCGCCTATCAGGCTGCAGACACAAGGCTCCGCTAATTCCCCAGCAAGGAAACGGTTGACATGTCTTCAGTCGACACATATCTTTGACCCAATTATTCTATCATTAGTATATGTATCTGCTGCCCCTCACACCTTGTGCTATTTATCGTACATGTTTGCCCCAAAATACAGTATCGAGTACTGAGTACATACCACTGTGATGAGAGGAGTTGCGCCGCCGCTAATGCACTGTGTCCAAGATCTTTTCTCCGCCCTCAGCCGTCCTCGTAATGCCGTGTGTTCATACAGTCCAACGTCTTCCTGTAATCCTCCTTCTCGTCGGGTAGTCCCATACCATTGTCAATCGCATCGTCCATCCTTCCACCCATCTTTCCATCTCTGCTTCCAGAGAGTGCAGTCGAACTCGGGCTTGCCCAGCTTGACATTGACCGCGTTGTGGGCTTGACACATCCACATACCCAGGTCATCTTGGCCTTTGACTTTGGGTTCGTTCCCAGGCTTTTTCATCCAGTCTCGAAAATCTTCCGCGCAAACCCAGCAAGGATAGAGCATAGAGAAAGTGGAAATGAATTGCTTCATGATTGATTGAGTTTGGGGAGGTGCAGCTTCAGGATATGTAGCGGCAATGCTGTGCAGCAGCGTCCACGTACAGCGCCCGAGCTCCTCGACGTCAGGTGGGCATTCGGTTCGCGGAGGAGGGACTGGAGCCGCAGCTTTTGTTTTTTTGCCGCTCTGCTTCATCATGGCCATCCACGCGGCAGAAGAGGTACAGGTTCGACATCTGTCCCGCAGTCAGTGACAAAGCTGAGCCTCCGGAAAGGAGCAACTTACGGTTTCCCATCCTTGTCCAAGACAACTCCCGGGGCATATTTCTGTGGCTTGTCTTCATCCTCTGCGTCCTTGGAGCCAGATGCTTTACTGACAGGAAAAGGGAAAGACATCTGTTCTCTAAGTCTAGCGCACCACACGCCTTCCTCAGGTCACCGCAATCGACCCTCACACGCCCTGACAGGTACACAATGGAAATTGCAACATGATTGCAAATCAGAAATGGGAGCCTCGACTGGTGAAGCGGCAAACACCGACATATCCGATGCGGGCTCGCCTGACCTTCCTTATGCCTTATCAAGCAAGGCTAGGCCTACTGGCTCGCTGGGTCCGTACTGAGTAGATCAGCACCATCACGTGTCTGCGTTGTTTTTGCGGGGAAGAAGCCTCGAAGCGATCACGAAACCAAATCCAATGGTCGAAGGGGCTGAAGCGACCAAGGCGTTTTCCATTGATCCAACCAACCCCTGCGCGCAATTGACTGATCATCTTATTGCCGCTCTTCGCTTCCCAGTTGGTATACTCCATTTGTATCGGTCAACGCAATATGTCCGCGTCCGACTCGGAACTTTCAGAGGCCTCCAGGACACCCGCGCCGCCGGACCATGAACTCGAGAGAAGTCTGCGACGCGAAGTGGTCAAGGCGCAGAGAGACGGGATAGACTTCTCGACCAACTACATTCGTGAAGCTTCCGAAGCAAAATTGGGGTTGACAAAGGGTTTCTACAAGACTCACCACGAATGGGCAGAGCGGAGTAAAGCTATCATAGCCGAGCAGTGGGTATGTTTGAACACTGTTGGGTTTTGTGCATCACATTTAGTTAACAATGCTGTTAGGACATCCAGTCACGCACACAGAGCTCTCCCGTACAGCCAAAGCCCAAACAGTGGAAGAAGACCCCCTTGAAGCGCAAGTCCTCAGAGAAAGAGTCCGCTCCAAAGAAGAGACGAAAGGCTATCGCAAAAAGCGACGGAGACGTTTCCGACGGCCTGTCTTCACCCTTGAGCGACCTAGACTCGGAAGCACTGCAAGAGAAGTCGAAAACGATACAATCGAAGGCCCTCCAAAAACCTCGCCCGACCAAGTCAACGCCCGCGCATGCTAAGAGAGCAAAGATCGCCGGCTCTAATGAAGAAGATGAGGACGAGAAGCAGGCAAACGGTGCTGTTGCAGAAGAGTCCTCAAATGAAGGAGAAACCGCAGCCACCAACAACGCTGACGGCGGTTCTGAGAGCGAGATGTCGGTCCTCTTAGACGAAGCACGCCAGCAGAAGAAGACCAGGAAGGGGCAAAACTCGGTGGGGCAAAGGCCCAAGAAGCCTAATAGATCTTCCGCAAGACCCGGGGCAGGCGCTGATGTCGACCCCGACCAGGCCGAAATCAAGCGTCTCCAAGGCTGGCTGCTAAAATGCGGTATCCGCAAGCTGTGGGGTAAAGAGTTGAAACCCTATGAAACGTCCAAGGCCAAAATCAAGCATTTGAAAGAGATGTTAGCCGACGTCGGCATGACTGGCCGCTACTCCCTGGAAAAAGCGAATCAGATCAAGGAGGCCAGAGAGTTGGCGGCTGACATTGAGGCTGTCCAAGAAGGAGCAGTACGGTGGGGTGCTGCTGAGGATCAGGACGGAGTGCGAGGTGAGAAAGAGATAGAAAGTGGTGCGCGGCCCGCGGCAAGGAGATTGGTGAGAGGGGCGAAGAATTATGACTTTTTGAGCAGCGATGGTGAAGAGACAGATTGAAGGCGGAATTCGCATTGCGACACCACGTCATTCAGATCTTGAGCTTCAGGCCCGGGTTCTTTCAGTCGACACTCTTCCTCGATGGGTGTTGACATAACGGGCGGTTACTTTTATTTGATGGCCTTGTTGCCGCTCATGCGTTGTGCTACAAGGCTGAAGACAGCCACGGACGAAATGAACAAAACCAGGTTGTAAAACTAGATCAGGCAGGTTAGGATGAGTGCTCAAGGTTGGTTCATACCTGTTGGGATATCAATGAAACTTACGGCATTGCGGGAGTACTCGTTCTCTTCTGCCTCGGTTCGCGCCTCGACAAAGAGACGGCGGAGATTTGGCAGAGCCATGTTGATCACCTGAATTGAGGTCCGTGAGGTCCGCTGATTGACGGCGTATATTGGAGTGAATCGGGTCGATGTCAAGGAGAGATGAAAAGAGAAGAAAGTCAGTCTGTCGGTCTTCGCAGCGCCAGTATTTCTTGGCAACAGCCCGCCGGAGCCTTGTGGTAACCTTGTTACAGCCTTGCCAGAACATTGCCGCCTTTTAAAACTATGTTCAAACTTTTTTCTGAAAAACTTCTAATCATTCCTGTCATTTTTTCCACCCCGGTGGACCGGCTTGAACCAACTTTGGAAGGTTCTGTCCATCCGGAGAATGCTCTCGCTCATTGCGTTGCGTCGTTATTCAGACTGAACCTTAGAAAAGGATTTGTGGATGCGAATCATCTTCAGGCCTCCTATCCCAGCACCACAAAGTTCTTACAAAGTATTGGGATCCTGATCATCCATTGCAAAGTCAGCGGCAACACTTTTTCGTTGTGGGTACATGTAATCACCGCACCACTTGTGGAAGCTACATTCAGGCTTCTACTGATCAGCAGAATCGTCGTTTGCTGGTCTTCTAAATGTTACACCATCCTAATTTCGTGTTCCTTGCGAGGAGAAAGTGGAAACCACTCCGGGACTTGATGATCAGCACGTTTCGACACCGCCCTTCGGGACAACCGCACCGTTTCACCCATGATTTGATATCCCATCCGAAGGTAAGGCAGCTTGAATGCGTCACTTCTAAGCCTTGGAGTTGGTCGCCTCAACATTCCTCAGGCACCAACGTCGTATAAGGCATCGACGACGCTGATGGCTGCTTGTTGTCTACTTGCTGACTTTCAGGCCCATTGTCTCACCAAGATGGAACGCCTACCTCATTCTCACTACATGTATATAAACAATCGAAGCTCCTATTATTTCGTGCTTCTCTGGGGAGTAACGTTGCTCGGTCTTAACAAACTCTTGTAACCATGGATGGCCATCCACTTGCTTCTATTCCACCCCTTACGCTCCAAGACGGTATCAGTCGCGATGATATCAACGCTGCTGACATTGTTGCCGACTGGCTCGCTGCACTGGAGAAGCGACCTAAGAATGGTCGGTCTACTGACCTGTCAGACCTCTTCATTGACGATTCCTGGTGGCGCGACTTTACTGGCCTTTCATGGGACATAGTGACAAAACACGGCCTCAAGGATGTTGCCGAGTATCTCACCACCTCGACCACAGGATTTGGGCAGCTGACTGCCATCAAGACCGGTGGGCTGCAAGCCAGCTTGGTAGATATGCATGGATTCATTTGGATCCATGGTGGTTTTACTTTCCAGACAGCCGATGGCTCGGGCACTGGCCTTGTCCGATTGATTAATGTGGGCACGTCTCAGTGGAAAGCTTGGATAGTCTTCACTCAACTTGAAAGACTCAACAGCCAAGATGAGCTTGACAAGCAAAGATTACGACAATCCTACACCCAGACAAGGGTCGCCGATGGTGTCAACGGGGAAAAGAAGGGAGACCTGCAGGTCTTGATCATCGGTGCAGGTATGTTGGCATAGTTCTCTGGGCCTTCACAAGCTGATACATTTCTAGGCCAA